CTTAGTTTTTGTAATGTCTTGAATGCTCGCGAAAACGTTTGCTACCATTCAGTTCGCTCAGAAGTATCTATTGTTAGTAATAGTAGCATCACTGTTACTAAATCTTCTTTATTTTGTGAGGAAAAGCTCCTAGTCTATGGTATACAAACCATCCATCCATTTTTAGCAAGTGAATTAGTGATGCTAATGACAGTACTTGAGGCACATGGACCGAATTACCAAGCCCCAAGTACTTGGGGAATTATACTCACTCTTGTCCTTTAATCTTGATGTATCGCAGACCAGGTTAATGGTCATGTTTACGTTTATGTAGTCACTAAATTTTTGTTATATTATAATACAATTTCCATTGAAAAAATAGACTGCATTGTGAGACCTCCTGTAGACGTAATTTTTATTCACTATATCAGACTGCGTCATGCCGGACACGTATTACATGCTGGAAATATAACAAGTCATAAGAAGGTTCATAAAAGTCGTTTTCTAAGTAAACCGCCAATAAACAGCGTTACTGAAGAAAAGTTTTTTTGCTGCAAATTATGTTTTGATGCATAAATTACTGTTGTCTTCGAACTGGAAAGAATATCGTTTGTCCTTTGTTAAGTTTTACTGGTATACAGTTCGCTTTTTGGTTTGTAGGCTTAGTTTTCTATATCCAACTAATTTAAATAACATGTCTGTGAAGGTAAAACAATAATTATGATACCTGTTTAGTTTAGCATACGTTGGTATTTTATAATTCAGTTCAGTAAATATAAATATAGTGCTTGAAGGAAGTAGTTACGCAAACCAAATTAGTAAGTAGATCGGCTGCAATTAAACGCAACTCAATTTCGTAAATGTGCTCTTCAGCTTAGCAACCAATCAGAATGTGGCGGGAATTATTATGTCAGCCATCCTTGTACGTAATGGCGGCCGGCTTTCTTCGTTCTGTGCTTCTTTTAGCTATTTCTTTTGTGTAGCTATGTAATTAATGTTTCAATGTGCTAAGATGCCGCAGTTAGTGTAATGTTCCACATGTTGGTGTGAAATTTACTTCGAATCAGCATTGTTTTTTGGGTTTTTACTGCTTCTACTCTAGTCAATGTAATTCTTCAGTCAAGCTGGTTAGTCTTATGTTTTAAAATGGAAATCGGTTTGGTTTTGACTTGTTTTCTAAATATCCAAAGCCGAAGTTCGTTTTTTCTTAGCTGAAATAACTGTTGCTGCCTCCTGTGACTAACTGTCCGCATGTTCATTCCTAACCGTACTTTATGATGTTATCGGCAAAATGAAAGGAACCAATTTACGGTTTTTAATTTTCTTCAGTATTGCGGACAAAAATATCCCACAACAAGTCAAACTAATACTTAGTGCCTAGCAGTATGGGATGTCAGTATTGTTTTCGAAAGTACCCAGGCTTCCGACAACCATAGACGAAGTCACAGATGCTACCAATCTATTGCAGAGGGTTTGTTATGAAAAAATATGCCACATAGCAGTAATGGAGGGGTTATACGCATTACGTAGTGCGTTAAAGCAAGCTTAACATTGAAAAGCCGGAAATCTGCTATCAGTGTGTAGTGTATGTTTGGTGTTTTGGCCACAAAAGGAAGCCGAAGGGTCATGATCAGAAAGTAAAAAGGTAACTAACTGTTATTAAGCTCACCTTTTTATAGACCATAATTCACCACTCGCAGATTTGTGTTTTTTTACGGTGTCATGTCAACCGTTATCGAATATGTTCACCCTTACGATGAAAAGTACCTGCAAATTCTCACCTTCATATTCGAATTATTTTGGGACAACTGTCTTCCAGTTTGAGTGCTTCGTACGCCCTGAGAGACTAGATTCCTACATTATTCACAGTTCCAGTATAACATTCTCACGCAGTAAGTTCAAAGTAAACACTAGTCTTTCTAGATAAGCATGTTAAACTAATATCCGTATTCTCTATTTCAGTTGATCGATGAAGACATGTACCACGTGCATCTGCTGTATATTGCTATTTTACTCCAATTTCTTACTGTTATATACTTAAAAATAAAATTTCTATATGCAGCAAATACAGACTTATTGTTTTGATGGTGGTAGGTGGGTTCATGGGATTTTTAGCAGGACTGTAGTAATATTCTCAATAAAAAGCCGAGTGCGTAGACCAGTCTAAAGTACCATACAGGGTGCCTTTGAATTACTCGTCTTCCATTAGTGTCGGTAGAAGCATTACTTGCTTATCATATGACATTTGAATAAGAAGCTATGAGATTAGACGCAGGGACGGTTAGGATGTGTAACGCGTGTCCATCCATCAGTTTTCGTGGCAACTCATGGTGGCTAGAATAAGTTGTGGGAGGACCCGAGCCTGTAGGTTTCCCAAGAAAATGACGGAAATATGCACCAAATCACCTTATGAAGAGCGCCTTTAATCACTTAATCTCTACTCATTAAAGTATAGACGTCTTAGAGGTGACCTATTTACTTACAGGATCCTTAACACTTCTGGACATTCTCTTAAACACCTACATGAGCTTAATCCCAGATACTAGAGACACGACATAGCAGAATGGACTGTAGACGCAACTTCTACTCCTTAAGAGTTGTCGGATGCTGGAATTCGCTGCCCGCCGAACTAGTCCAAGCGACTTCCCAGGAGTCCTTTGGGAGGCGACTGGGTCTTTTATTGTTAACATACCTAGGTTCCTGCTTGGAGGTTTTGGTGATCCCCTGCTACTAGACACGGAAGCCTGAACACATGAATTAGGTGATGAGAGGCTCGATTATCACAAGTTTCTTGCAACGATTAAGTATGTAAAACAAAGTAGCATTAGGTTCAAAAATTTATTCGAGAACTTTCATTAAGAATCGAATATCAAACAAAGGTTTAAACCAAGTTCCAGTCTACAAGTTGCATTTGTAATGTTAAGCTGCAGTTTTTGTTGTTTTTCCAAACGAAGGGTAAAAGAAGTAACTCAAAAAGTACTGGAAGTGGTTGTGAAACTAAAATGGACGTCCAGCATCCTTTTTATAATCTGCTGTTAGTTGGGTCTCCAGTAAACAGGGCCATAGTTCCAAGTGCGAAATAGTTTTTAGGATTTGTGAAGGCTCAATCCTGTTGCATTCTAAATGAAAAAATAGTGATGAATTTAGTCAGAAATGTGGAATAGATAAATAACCAAATTACATGTTTTTTAGCAAAGAATTTATGCAGTTGTGATTTACCTTTAGTTCATGAATATTAGGTCAGGTCAGCTATTACTTGTGCAAAGTATAACATGGACTTAATACCGTATCTCAATGCTTTTATTATTTTGCTCTCATTTAAGTATTACCATGTATCTGCATCTAGTTTAACAGGGAGACATACAAGCAGAGTTAGTGTTTGATGAACTAAAAGTCCTAGTAGTCAAAAAGATTCTTAACATTTGTCCACAGCCAAATGCATTTAATTGAAATACAGAACACTCATCTTCTAAGACTGAATACTGCTCTTCTGTGGGCAAATAAAAGCTCATACACTTAGCTATCCTGCTACCGATGTTATTGCTGGGGAAATTGTTTAATGACAGTGATCATGAAATATGGTCAGTGATAGATGTACAATCTAGAAATAAACACCAAACATACTTATCGCTATCTTATAATGTATGACAGCAACAGTACCAAAAGCACTTTTTTCCTATTTTTAATCAGACTGATTTGAATTAGTATACTCATCAGAAACAGGCAACTCTACTTACTAGACTGATCTGTTTCGTTACAGACTTCAAGCACTATACTTAAGTATACCATAATTCTTTCAACTAAACTGAATTATACGACAACCAAGAATACTAAACTAAGCAAGTGTCATAGTTATTGTTTCATTTGTACAGGCATATTGCTTAAAGTATTTAAATGGACATAATTAAGACTATAAAACAAAAACACGAAATGAAGGCCAATTGAACTTACCGAACGGAAGACAAAGAATATATATATTGCTTTCCGACTGAAGACAACAGGCATTTGTTCATAAAAACATAGTTTATAGTACAATAAACCTTTCTACAGTAAAATCATGCACTGACGGTCTATCTGGAAACAATCAACTATGTGAATAAACTCACTATAACTTGAGATATCATCCCAGCATGCAATGGACGTGCAGTGTAACGCAGTCGGACGTGGCAAATAAAAATATAAAAAAAAGATCAAAATTAGCTATATAATCTAGTTATTTAATTAAAAATACATTATGAAATGACAAAATCTGTGGTTACTTGAACGCACAGATGACCGATACATTAAGTTTACATGGTTGCGTTGCGGATAAGATCACCCAGTAGATCTGCCCAATCTTCCGCTTCCTACAGTGTGCTTAACCATCAAGAATAGGAAACGGTCATTTTAAGGTTATGCATACATTACAGAGCAACTAGCTTCCGGAAGCTGAAGTTGAGAGCTTAGAACTTGTACAGTACAGGGGGGGGTTGATCTTGATGTGCCATATTTGTTATATTCCCACTACCCCAAACATATCACTAGTTTGTAAATTCCACGTATGATAGTAGTGATATGGATGCATTGTTTTAATGTAGCCCTTACCTTGAACGATGGAGAAATTGTAGTGACTCTCATATCAGATTTCTCTTGATGAGTATATCGATGTAAATCAATGTGCTAATAAATAGAACAAAGTTCTTTGGATGCTGCTGTTGTCATGCATTTTAAAGTAGTATTCATCTTTAAAAAAGGTGATAAGTATGTTTGACGTGCGTTTGTAGACTGTACGACTAACTTGGACTATATTTTAAGATCATTGCAAGCTAATCAGATTTAGTATAACAAGTCTTGGAGTTAAGCGTGAAGTTCATTCGTTTATTTGGCCAAATCGAGTTTCGGCGTTCTATGTGATGTCATTTCGTGGTGATAAATATAAATATAAATCCCCACCCTTACCATTTACTGTAAATCATAATTTTTTTCTTCACATATGTTTATAATTTTCATTAAGCTCTAGCAAATTGGACATTCTCAAGGTCACTTTGGCGTCGTTCAAAGGTCGTCCTTAAATCATTGTCTCGTCACGAGTTTGGGGATTGTATTTTATTTGTTATCTAAATCCCACTGGTCATTTGGGCTAAATAGTTACTTGAGTGAATGGAAGTCAGATTAGGCTCAATTCAAAAAGAAGTAGTCACGAACTTTAACACTGACTAGTACACTCATCCCAAGCTTGGGATATACTAGTTCCCAACTTTGGGGAAACTTCCCTAGGTCTGGGGAAATTTCGGGCTTTTTGCTCCATTTTCCCAAAATTAACTATAGCGGCTTCCCCAAAATGGGCCAAATTTTCTCCAAAATTGGGAGCTTGGTATCTAAAGCACATCAATGAATTAGTCTTGTCTTCCAAAATATTGAAAAAGGTGGTAAGATGTTTGGAAGTAGACTTTCCAGGGTGGAATTTGAATTATAATGGGAATCTACTGTTATCAAAAAGTCAGTGACTTGAAGGCCTGTATGAATAGAGTTTGGTTAACTTTTAAAAAACTATCAAACTAGGCTCTTAACCACTAAACCCTTCAGTTATAGGGTCTGGATAACTTGCTGTTGAAGTTAACTCTTATTAAAACAATACCCGACCCACAGCAGGGGACTTGAATTGATAATCATGTGTACGATTTCAGTGACCGACTCCAACTACATTCAGTGGAATTACTGTTCTCTGGACGCTCATCATTTAAGAAAGTTGATTACAAAGCGCTGAAGCCAAAGGTCGTCATTTTACTCATACGTAACTATAATATCGTACTATTAAATTCACTCGAACAGTAGTAGGAGAATATTCTTCCCAAAGACAGATATTTCAAACAATACTGCCTTCATATTATGACAGTAAGAAAGAGAGACCGTCCCAAGAGTTGTGTGACTCACAATGACCATGGCTTCCCTTTTCTAGCGTCGGTATATTGGAACAGATAAATTCAACAAAACCCCCTTCCGTTTTTTAAAATAGATATTGTTTTATGGAGCTCAAGCAGATACTTATTAGGCTCTGTAATCGCTAGCCCACTTTCCCCTTCTAATACTTCGTGATGTCTCTTTTCTTGATGTGGGTAATCAGGATTTACCGGCAGTGTGCCCAAGTTTAGAGACACGGTAATATTTTTTAGCTGTCCAACTGATTTTCTGTATCATCACACCGTTACAAATAAGAGATTTTATGTGGACGATGATCACTTGGCTGCCTGAATGGAGCTTGGATGCTTATATGTTTGTGTGAAATTTCGTCTTAATATGACTGCACACGAGTCTGCACTAAATGAATAGCAAAGGAAAAAGCAACTGGTCACTAACTTGTTTAGTGGGTAAGAAAACCTACGTTAAAATATTTAACACAAAAATCTGGTTTTGAATGGAACTAACTGTGTATCCATGTTTTTAAAATATTCCACCAGGTGTCACATGACCCATTAATCCGTTTCTATGGAGTTTCAGAAGCTCACTCATTTAGATCCTAGTTATTGAAATGCTGTACTCATCGTGACTTCATAAGGACAGGCAAAAGTCGGAATACCTGTTGTTACTTGCATTTTCGCTAACATATTGATATAAAAAAATAATGAGCTGTTCTGAATACAGCTGTCTTCAAACATTTGCGTGGATTCTTTTCACACATTTGTGGTATCGTCACTGCCTATATTTATATACTTAAAGGCAGGGTCCAATTACACCAACCAGTAAATCCCGTGGGACTTCTTTTAAGGACGATGTAATGAATATCATCACGTTGTTGAAAACTGGCGACTATGTTGAAGATAAATGACATTAATTCATCCAGTCAACTGAATTCTCATAACCTTATAAAATACCCAGACATATTATCCTGATTTTTATTTTCAAAATTACTTTGTACATTTATTTTATGAATTCTTTCTTCTTGAATCATATTCTACATACCTAATCTTTTTTACTACCACCGATAAAACTGCTGATATTTAGTTAGTCACTTTCATAATTTCATCTTTTTGTACTAATATTATGCGGCAACTTGAACCGATTCACATATGTCCCATGTTTTACGCAACTTATGACTAATTGACTGGTAAAATACTGCTGTGCTGTTTTTAAGAAAATAATTACTTAATTAAGGTTAGTCTCAAGATTTACCTTCTATAAATTGAAAGTCGCACATGTCTCTGAATGATATTCAAGTAGTGTCCATAAAAGTGTATGAGCAAGCCTTTTTCATAACATTTTTGTGGACATATCCTATAAGCTCTTGCTTGTTACCCCTGCATTATATATTATCCTCAAATGTTTTATGTATACATTAATTCTGGGAACCAAGACAATTATCCCATTTTCCTAAATTGCATGACTGTTCATAATTGTTATGTATTGTTTTTTCATTTAGATTAGTTTAAAACGTTGAATTTGTCATCAACTATGAGTACAAATATTGAAAAGATATTTCTTAATGTAATGACGTCACGGCCTTTATATCAATGGGCTGATTTCGAAAAAGCACTATTTTATGCTCAAGAGGTTACGCGTATTACTTATGTGAAGGGCGATTTCGAAAAAATGCACACTGATAAAGGGACACGATATAAGTACATTAATTACAAATGTTCTCATTCAACTGGACCATCAAACTCTCCGAATATGAGCAATACCAATGGTGTGTAAGTTTTCATTATTAGTTTATTTATTCCCTAAATCTCTTAGTAATGAAGGATGTACTGCAGCATTCCAAGTTCGATGGGTTGATAATTGTTATGTAGTCACCTTTATAAATCAGGAACATAATCATAGTCACTCTTCAAATAATCGGGCGAAGAAAGCACCAGAAAATAAAAGAAGACGTATCGATGCATCGAATGGAAAGAAAAACCAAGGAAATAATCAAAGTTTTAATCATCCAATAGTTATATCAAGTATTCGAGACCAAATAGCTCAAAGTATGATATTGTTTATTACTGCGTAATATGAAATTGGTTGATAGGTAGTGAAACTTTGGACCAGGTTCTATCGATTATCAATCGGAATTCATATGTTGGAATTGAAAGAAATTCTTCGGATCAAGTAACACAAATTACATTAGCACGTTACGAACAAGTTGACGTATATCGTCAATATCCAGAAGTAGTACTTTTAAACGCTGCTTACGATGTGAATTCAACGGGGTTGGTTTCTAATAACCATATGTTTTAAAATAATATTCACATTTATGCACAGATTTTCATTATTTCAATTTGTTGTGACTGACGGTTTTGGTTGTCCTAGACCAATTATGTATTCACTAAGTACTATTCAACAAAAAGAAGAGATAACAATTCTATTAAATCATTTTTGCGGTATTGTTGGCAGCGTTGATAACACTCGCACATTTATAATGGATTGTGCTATAGTTCAGTTGGATGTTGTACAAAAAATATTTCCGAAAGCCAGAATCTTACTGAATCCTTTCATTATTAAAGAATCATTTACAAGAAAAGTAGGTATAGGTTATATTCTTTTATTACTGTCAATTTTAGTGCGATAGTCTCACAGCTGTTGCAGTTTTTCACGCAATGATTACTACAGTATCTCCTTTACAGTGAGTGTTTTTTCTTCATTTCCAATTGAACATTAAAAATACATATTATAGATTTGATTATTACCTGGAGAGATTAAAAAATACGAGTACTAATGCATATAATTACGTGATGAATACATGGATTCCTACAAAGAAAATGTGGGCAGCCTCATATTGTCTGGATGCTGTAACTCTTGGCGCCAGTACTACTGAAATCATTAAAGGTGTAAATTTCGGCGTTAAAGAGTCACTGAAAAAGCTTACTTCTGTTAAAGAAATTATGACTATAATATATAATGAAGCTGGAAAGCAATGGGTTTATCCTAGTATCAGTATCTTTTCATCATCATCGTTGTCATTCCCTGGACATTCTACTAATAATCTAAATAATAACAATAATTTATCAGAAAAGTTTAAATATATTTTAGAAAAATTAACTGATTATGCAGCAGAAATGGTCTACAAACGTTTAAGTAAAGTTGATAAAATCAATATAAATTTCACCAATGAACAATTAGCTTTATGCGCAGATTCTTCATTTGTATATGAAGTTGATCGTGACAATGCCACATGTTCTTGTTCATTCAATATATCGTCATTTCTTCCTTGTGAACATTTATTAAAGGTGTTTATGGTTCATGGCCTGCATAAAGGTAATGTGATAATTTTTTCTATGAGTAGCTACCTTTCAATTATTTTATGTTCTAGTCACTTTTTTTTGATATCGGGCTTTGAAAATTTACTAACTTTAGTTGTCAGCAGTTATCATTTAGACAAAATTTCCATAAAAATCAAGAAAATGTGTACACAATTATTCATTGTTACAACTCATACCTATGCGAATTCAAACGATATTAATTTAATTATTGTAATTATTCTGACAAGGATAATTCGCTATTCACTTAAATCCAACACATAGTCGTGTTCTAACATCGTTTCCTCTGAAAAATAAAAAAAATTTAATCCAACTAGTGCTAAACTATACTCCCATTACCAATTCATAAAAACGAAAACCAATAAATCAATACTGGTGAACTAAAAAACTATTAATCAAAAATTTAAAACTTATTAAAGAGAATCAAAACATTTTTATTTGTTTATTCATTCATTCAGATAAAAAACAACAATATACAACTCGATCTTACCTGCTTCGGTCTGGGTGCCCGGGCAGTATCACAGCTCACACACAAATTAAGTGACTTGTGTAGCGCATATCTATTCTGTGCCCCTTTGTACTAATATTTATGTATTCCAATAGAATAAATAAATAAAACAACTCGATCTGAGCAAAACTCTACATAAATTAAATGAAAGATTCATTTCAATAGTTGAGATCATGAGTCAATTGAAGCTAGACAACCATAAAAAAGTTGGAAGCACTGAACGACCGTTTCGTTCTATTGTGGGATTCCTCAGCAGTGCGCATCTACGATCCCGCCTTGCGGGATTTGAACCCAGGACTTATCAGTCTCGCGCCAGGCGCTTAACCATTAGACCACTGAGCCGGGGTCGTGGATGCACACTGCTGGGTCCCACAATAGAACAAAACGGCCGTCCAGTGCTTCCAGGTTTCCCATGGTGGTCTAGCTTCAATTGACTCATGATCTCAACTATTGAAATTACTGCAATCTCCACAAAAACCCCTTCTGAAAGATTCATTATTTTAATGTTCAGTAAGTTTTTGAAGTAAAATTTTGAAAAAAAAAACAGAAATAATTTTTTCTTTTTCTGTAACAAAATAATTCAATTTTATTTCTCTATTATTTTTTATAGATTTACTATATCGAAGTAAACGATGGCTTCAATGTAACAATCAAAATTTATCTAAACCACCAATATTAGTAGTTACTGAATCAACAAATCAATCAAATATTTGTATAGATTATAAAAAAGCTGTAACAGATACAATTGAAAAATTAAAAGATTTTCAAACACAATATTCGGAACAAGTTGTACTTGAAACAGTTAAACAAATAACTATTCTATTAGAATCTGTATTACCAAAGTCATCTATAATTTCATTAAATAATAAATAATGAATTTTTCTTGATTAAGAGAACAGTTCAATGTTTCTATTTCAACATAAAGTTTCTTGTATATACATATTGATTTAGTTATGAATAGGATGAAATACAATAATGTACAGCAGATCAGTTTTTGTAAGTCCCTTTTTTCCCCATTGGTTTGTTTTAAATTGTTATTTGTGTAATGTTTCAAATTATCAGTATCGAATTAAGATAATGACTAGTAAATGTTTACATTTTAGTTCTACTGTGAAACTTGACCCTTAAAAACAAAGGATATTTGTAAGCTACTAGTATTTGATCTTAGATGCCTTCAAATGCATTACTTGTGGATGTTGGGACTACTGATTGAGCTATGGTGAGGTTAGACGTAGGTAAGGATAGCAATTAATCTTCATCGACTGAAATGGTTAGGATATATATTATGTATGTCCAACCACTGCCTACATCGACGTGCGGTGATGGCGTGTATGTAATGGTGGTTTGAAAGAAATATAGAGTCGACCTAACTAAAACATATCATCAGTTCACAAAATTATTGGGTAAGCCGTGTAAATAGGCGCAGACTATTTGGTTGGAGTCTGTGCGATTATCGTAATCAGTGGCTAGTGATGTTAGGTTGCACAGTTCAGAATTGCTTGTAATGATGAAGTTGCATCTTTTAGATCTTGCGTTTTTTTAGTTGTCATATACTTCTTATTCCAAGAATTGATTCTTCTTTCTTGAATCATATTGTCTGGGTCTAGTCTCTTCTACTACCAATAATACTGTGATTTATTTTATTACTTTGACATCTATTATGATAATTCCATCTCCTTGTGTTGATGTTGTATGGGAACTTGAACCAATACACATAATATGTGCTAGATTCTATTTCTCGGCAGTTGTATTATGCAGACGATTAAAATAATGATGCATAAATGTCTATTCGCTTGTATTCTCACAATTCATATAAGTATAGTGAAATTAAAATTAACGAAACCTGAAAATAATAATACAAACGTTATCAATAAAATTAAAATAAATAAAAAAGGATAAAAATGAATGACCGAGACCGACCAATCAGTAGAGTGCAGTAGATAAAAATCAACGTAGTTTGTCAACTAATGTTTATTTGGATATTTGCATCGTTAATAGTTTTGCGTATTTAAAGTGATTATCATTTAAGATATAGTGCAAATCAATGATTTTTTTGTTGTTGTTTAAACAAGAAATGTAATTAACACGTTTCAAGTACTTTTTACAGTTACAGATTTATTATATGTACGGTCATAATCAACGTAGAACTTGGGATAAATGTACATCAGCCCGAATTGTCACATTATAGCATAGTGAAGTGAAATTAATAAGATCAGTGACTTATATAATTAATTAATTATGCCTGTTACATCTCGTGGAGCGTAGGCCAACAATCAGGATTCTCCATTGGCAATGTAGTTGAAATGGTAAGAGTGGTAGTAACAGTAGCCATGATATTGAGAAAGACTCGACACTGAAAATATAATTTAGGACGAGGAAATGAATTTTAAAGTACTATCTATGATCGAATACTAGTAGCCTACGCATATCCTGTAATTTCAGTCATGTGCTTTCACAAACGAATACATATTTGAATATGTTATCAGTTTCAAATATTTCACTTAACTATTGTAAATAATCACATAAAAAATTTGTTCTGATATTTAAACAAATGCCCTCACTGAAATAGGTCTGAAAATATTAAAATCAAGTATAAGTGTATGATGCATAAACGACTCGATACTGAAATACATATTCATGCGCACTGGTTGTTTGAATTTTCTCGTTGATGCTGTGGACTACAATCGAACAGTCACTTTTAGCATATCCACGTCCTGTGCGAATTGCCCCGATAGTTCCATTAGGTTACAAGCATTTTTAAAGCAGAGTTGCTTGGTGGCTAGTAGTAGTAGTATTATACTCTAAAACGCGCTTTTCGTTCCATTTTATACTTGTCAGCTGGATGTACTTGCATCCCAGAATTGATGTTCATTCTGAGATTCAACACAAACTATACGGATGTTTGTTTAAATTAAAATTCAAGGGATAAATAAGAGAACCCCATAAGCTTCTAGAAATGTACGGCTATTAAGATAAATGCAACTAAGAAGTAATATGATAAACACCTTCAACTGTGAAATTTTTGTACAGGTAATGATCAACTAAGTGAGCGACAAAATTCTAAGATAATCTACAAAGGCTGGTGAACAATCAAACTGGATTTTGAAAGCCGAGCCGTCGTACAACAAATAAAATGAGAATATTTCATTTAACGAATAAGATTGTTTAGACTCCATGAGACCGTCATTTGCAAAATATAGTGCGTAGCTTAAATAAATGTCACTAACTCATGACAATAAATCGACATACATATAAAATACAAGTTATAAAGAAAAAGAGAATAACAAGTAAAACAGTTATATAACTTGTAGGCAAGTACTAACAAGTAAGTACATATTACAAATAAAGTCATTTAGTAGTAAGTAAACAGGAGTGTACCTGACAATTTTTAGTAAGTATTAACATCCCTAGTGATAACAATATTCACTAATATTAACTTTCACGAAACAATCTATTCTGTTGTTTGGTATAATAATACACTCGAATTGCTCTCGCAAATTTATTCAACGTATTTTTTATTTTGTTCCTGTATGTTTTAGATCCCATTATACAAAATTCACAGATTCTACAGAGATGTATTCAACATTTAAGATAATATTCTGCCATATATTTTTATGTAACTTGAATAAAACTTGACAAACAGCTGTTGAATGAATAAAGGAAACTTGTTCATTGTTGTTTGTGTTGTTAGTTCTCAAACTGTGTACACTTATAATCCAACTTCCTGCAGCATTCTTATATATCTACTAAATTATTTTATCAAAATTTATATTGATTTTCTCAATATAATATTTTAGATATTGTAACGTAGTTTTCTCTATATTGTATACAGAGCAAAAATGACTTATTTTATTGTTGAGCTAACCCAACAGTAAATAGTCTTCAGTGATTTGAACTGCATCCAGGTTACTAATTTGTCGCAATTAGCTTACTCACATTAGTAAGCAGAAGCTGGAAATCCGAATCAAGCACAAGTTAGTTTGTGTTTAGAAGAGGATATTTAAAAAAAAGATCATGAGAATAAGGATGAGTTAGTGATAAGCTGGGAATGTCTGGTTAGAGTACACGATGTCGTAGAAATCAAACAGCCACGTGGTCTGGGAAAGCTTTGTTGGAGGGAGTAGATTATGCCATAATTTGAGGTCTCAGTTGACATATCCTTGCCAGGATCAGAAGAACAAGTATATATATGGATATATACCTGTAGTTTGTGTACAGTACAATTCGGCCTGACGAGTAAGTCTTCCCGTTCGTTTTAGTCTCTCCAATTGCATAGTGAGTTTGGTAGAAGTTAAAAGTGTGTATCTTAACTGGACCGATCTGCAGAACACAACAGACTGACCGTAACTCAGTAAAGTATGTACAAATTTGCGTATGAAACTGAACTGGACTTGGTGTGAAGCGGTGCTATTCAACTCTCCATTAAGTCGATAAAATGAGTTCATCACTTTTCCAACACACTATCCTGACCAAAAACGATGAAAAGCAGTGAGGGAAAAATTTTCAAGCTAAAGTTAAACAGACTTTATTGGGTTGATTACCTTATCAACTTAAATAGTTATCCAGATTAATCGCAAGTGAAAGGAAAAACGACTGATAGAATCGCTTAATGCATAAATAGTTTAGCAAACCACCTCATAAAGCAAACTCGAGAGTCAACCCTGAACTAAATAGTACCCTCTTATATTTTCCTTGACATTTATCCATTTAGCTACACTCCAACTACACAGCTCCAGAGTCTGCTGAAGAACGTGGTTGAGATGCACCACGTCACTCAGTCCTCCTGATTAAGAGTATTGTGGGAGCCTTGAGCCTGGAAATTTGCATCTACTGACATAGCTCAGATTAGCAGTCAATGACTGCATTAGTTGATCTCATTTCACGACATGACCGTTCTTGGGCTTTTCCCAACCTAGCTCCATACCAGTGGACGCTACGAATCTGTGTAGGTGATAGTTAAGCATGCATAGATGAAGTTAACAAGATAGTGATCGGAAGCAAATAGCCACGTTAATTGGATTAATATATAGACAAAAACAAAAGTTTATTATATATAAATTTTATTTATACAAACAAATTATCTTAGAATACATAAAGAAATACATATATAATTAAGATAATATTCTATACACATATATCAGTCATTACAACATCTTGCAATGTATTACAGTTTTGTTTTGTTAAAAGATTTCGCATATGCTCAAAACCAGATTCAATAAGATAATGAAATTGTGGATCTTTGACCAGGTCTGTTAATTCATCAGCAGCAAACAATTGCTCTGGGCTTGGTAACAGGGAAATTACATCCACACCTGAAAATTTGATAGGAAAACACAAACACATTGCCCATATATGGATACAAATTTCAAACAAACTATTTTAGGACAATACCTTATTATCTAGAGATCTGACTAGAACTAAACAAGGAAATCACTTTTTTGGAATATCCATCTTCAAATGATTCTAAATCGTTCGAGTAATGTTGGGGTTGGCGCCTAGAAACTCGTATGTTGAGCAACTGGTTCGCATGGACAAGCCGAATATATATATATATATATATATATATATATATATATATATAATTATTGAGGATACTGAAGTTGTGCTGTTGTGTCATCGATTCGAATCTTGTGACAGTTCAATCGTACATATCAACTTTCATGGTGATGTGTTGGATTGGAAATTTAAGTAGTAAACTATTACAAAAACGGTCAGTCAGATTAGTGACATGATGAAATTAAAGTTTAAGTAGGAGTATATATATTATTGGTTAGTATACCCGTGGTTCATATTACTCGAAAGTTTTGTCAGTAAAATCAATTTTAAAAGAAAGACGATAATTAGAATTCTGTTTATTTATTATTTATCGATATCAACTGAGCAAATGCGGAAATAAATGTCTTTCATCCTTGGGACTGAATTTCCAAATTGAAAAATAATAAAGCAACCACTTTACCATCCCATGGAGTTGACAAGTACATGCTGGCTAGGCCTCGTAAATATCTCAACTGAAGCATTTTATAAAACTCGAAGTGCAAGAGACAAGATAAAAAAATCGACTTTGAACTCATTTAAATGTATGTGTGGCAACGTGAACCGATATACACATGTACCAGGTTTCATGTTGCATATAACCAACTGACTGATAGATTACAATGAAGATTATGATAAAATATCCTTAGTGTTGAACTATCACATACATGTGAAGTATGCTCAATGATTAATCTTGTAAATTGCACGTATTATATTTGTTTCGTGGCTTAATCTTTTACTGTACCAGTAATCAGTCTATAACAGTCAAATAAAACCGAATTATCTACAGGTTGCATCTCTAGTTATTAAAACAACCATGTGTTGATCATAAACGCATAGTTGCCGTGATCACATACGAAATACCATGTCTAAAAGTGATTTAAGAAACTTAACTACGCTCATTTTCCGTGATAACCAGTGTCACATAATTAATTTTTACAATGTTTCGAACATTTCAAAGCGTGTGGACAACAGAGATGATGAATTTAACAAAACAACAACGCAGAATTCGACAAAATAACAATATCTTCAGACACAATACTAACAGGTTTGATCGCTTTCAACTGCCTTAATTTCAGTTTTTGAGTAATATAAACCATGTATAGATTTGGTGTGACTCAGAGATAATACAATGAAAAGATCACAACCAAAACCAGCCAATTTACACGGTATTTTAGAGTTGTATTGCAAATCTGATGTAAGTTAATGTTAGTGAGCTGTAATAAATAAATAAGTCATTAATTACCAGACAAAAATTTACCATTCGTCTGTTTAGTTTACTAAATTGCTCGCGATAAATACAATACCATAGTAGTGTGTGACAGGTTGAGAGAATTTACCCATATCCTTTGCATACACTTACATGCCATCTCAAAGTCGGGCAGAAGTTAATGAAAAATAATAAACGAGACACGCTATTGGAGGAAGTCGATTATGTTGTTATTTGTGTAGGTCTACACCTAAATGTCCTTGTTTGTATCTGGAAAAACAAATGTAAATGTACTAATTATCGATGTACTTAATTACTCAGTCTTATCATTCACATCTTAGTTTTCTCACTTAAATAGATTAGTTAGCCAGGGCCCCCAAATGCCCTGGTATGGCCGAGAGCGGGGTGGGTTCGCCCTCCCTCTGGAAATACTCTCACAAGGCCACGCGTATACAGCCTCTGCCAGGGAAATCCTACTCACTGCCTTCTCGTGGCCAGGGTATTGTTCACAAAAATGAGAGGACGAAAAGCGAATGTCCGGCGCTTTAACCGGATCCCAAACGAACAAATGGCGTATGAACCAATCGTTGGTCACCGGCTACCATGGGACTGCATCTCCTCACGATGCTCTACTGCCTTGTGGGTTAGACCTTTAGGTCAAAGGCTCGGGGTATGGCCCCCTGAGAAAATCACGTGCTTCGGTTCGGGCACCCGGGCAGTATCTCAGCCTGCACACAAAAACATGATAAACTATCTACTTATGAAAAATATTCCTCTCGCTCCAAATAACAATCAAGTGACTCGCATTACTATTATTTACTACGTAATTACTCACCCTCTTTTATTCCCACTCTATTTATACTCATTTTTGACTTATACAGCAGCTCGTCTATGGTGGAAATTCGACTGTATCTAAACGTTCTCGAGTCACTGTCCGGTTGAAAATTGCATGTTACCACCGAATATGAGTACTGAAGCAGTTTTTCTGAAGCCACATATCCATTCAAACTGGCTACCTTCAACGTTCGCA